GCGATTTTTCAAGCGTTGCAAGACCTAGTTTTTGATTAACGAGGGCGATGATATTCACGAATAGTCAAAAAAAAATCTTAAGGATAAAAATTAAAATTATTTTGATATTTCAAAAGTCCCAAACATGAATTTGCGCCAGAAAAAGCGTGAGGTACGAGCGTGAATTCAGAAGCAAAATGGGGCGGGGGAGGAGGAGAAGGAGGAGGAGTGGCGAATCGCGTGCCAGAATATAGATGGAACCCCCGGGAGGGCACACACCGGTCCTTTTCATCCACTGCTTCTGCCAGAAACGGAAGAAATTGCCGAAGATATGGTCATTATTCGAGGAATAGATTAATTAGAATCTAAGGAAGTAGCGGCATACTTTTAAGGCGCTAAGACCATCATAAAAAGTTTGGGAAAGTCGGAAACGCGCAATAAACCCTAAAAAAATGTAACGTTTTTGCAGGTTGCAACTTCAAGATAAACTTCCGACAAATCCTAGGAAAACAATATAAAATTAATGAACTAAATTTAAGAATCAGACAAGCAACTCGAAGGTGAAAAACGCATTTTTTGGGCAACCAACGGGGAAAAACTTTAGAAAGTCAGGGAATTCACAAAAACCCCAAAAATCATGATAAAGTCTCCTCAATTTTTGTAGTTTGTAGTTTTTATCAATACGTTACAAAAGGAAGGATTTATAATAAAATGGACAAATCAATAAATGGTAATAAAAAATAGACAAAACAAATCAATGAATTAAATGGATGTTAAGTTACCTAAAAGGCGCGCTAAAAATAAGCTACACTTTTGACTAGTTATAAAAAGAAGATACCCAGTGCCACGTATCCAGAGTATAAAAAAAAACGCTTTTTGCATCAAGTTCCCCGCAAATAGCCCTCTATCCCCTCAATATAAGGGGAGGAGGCTAAAGACTCGTGCCCTCCTCTGGAGCCGACGATTGCATAGTTTTCTCTCATGTTTAGCGACCCTTTAGCCCCCTTTTTCATTGGCTAAAGCGGGCCTCCTCCTCCTTATTTTTCCTTCTGCTTCACGCACTTTACCTAGGCGCCGATTCATTTAGGAGAGCAAGGAGAAAACCGCCTTGGTTTACTTCCGTATTTCAGCAATTTTTGGAGGTGCTTTGCTTTGTTATGATGTCCTTAAATCTTTGCTAGCCCATAGCTGCTTTAATAAAAGATTTTGAGGCAGAAAACACCTCAAATAATCATTAACTACGTTAAAAACAACGATTGCTAGCTTTTCCGCAAGCCATTGACGCTTTAAACGTCGCAAAAAAAGTTAACTTTGTCAAATATGTGCTGTAAGATTTTTTTGCTATTTTTTTTTCAAGCTCTCCAGACGCGCAAAAGCTCGAAATCTTGAGAAAAATCTTTTGAAAAAATTTGGCTGCTGGAAAAATGCTGGGTTGTCCATTGAAAACGGCGGGAAAGTACTCAATTATGGGCGCACCAGCCCGAAAAGCGGGGATCACCCCGGAAGGGTTTCGTTGATTTTTGAGGTCCAAAATAGGTTCTGTAAGTTATTTCTGACTAGGATACGATATCCGCGACAAAATTCGTCTTTTAGAGTGTTGAAAAGAGAACTGAATTTGGTTTTTGTAGAATTCTACAGTTTCGCTGGTTAAAAAACACTAAACTTACGAAAAATTACGCTTTTAAAAACCAGACCCGAAGATTTTGGAGTAGTTTTTTTTTGGAAAAACCGCTTTTTAAAGGGATACCCAATGTTTTGGAAGCAAATATATAGTTATGTATTCCGGGCAGTACAAATGACGCGGGAATTTTGTGTGGCAATGAGGCGCCAGTGCCGCACAGAATTCGGCCACCTTTCCCTCTTGTGGCGTCCCCATCCCACCCAATTGCTTGCCACTATGGCCTAATGGATAGCATCCTGGCCTACAAAACGGGGGTCCCGGGTTCGACCCCAGCCCGCGGCATGGTTGTTGCTTTTTGAGCCCCGAAAAGGTTGGGCATCCCTTTAAAGTTCTAAATAGCCGATTCTTAAGTCGGAAAACGGTAGCATCACTTGATTTTCCTCGAATTCTGGGTGTTTAAGACCTAAAGCATGGGAAAAGCTTGCCAAACCAAGCAAATTCTCAGTTTGAAAGTCCGATAGAGAGAAAACATGATTCTTGAGCCCCAGGAAGTTTTGTGGGTATTTGGGAAGGTGTCGTGCTCGAAAAGGCCGGCCGGGGGCTTTGTCCTCCGACGCCAATTTCCGCCCTCACCCCCGGGCCGGTCGGTCGTTAAATTGTTTTCCGGCGCGGCTCCTCAAATTAGATTCGATACTGGACACCGACATGGAAAACCCGTTAAGGTTATTTTATTCTCGCGCGTCAATGTTAATGCTATTTCTAGGACGTGGAAAAAGAAGAATACCGACAAACCAGAGATTTTTCGACAGGAACCGACCCAAATGGATTGATATTTGTAAAACATAAGTGTAATAATGTGTATTTCACGAGTTGACGGCGTTAAAATCGATAATTTATCTCGGTAATCGAATGATGCGTTTCATATTGTTATTAAAGAATACAGGGAAGGCAACGTGGCACATTCAGCAGATACTTGCAAGTGTTCGTCCGATGACAACGGGGTAATGGCAACCTAAATAAATTAAATATAACAGGCAGAGCTGAACGATAATAAGGAAAACCAAATTTACGCCGGCTTTAGCCTCAAAAATTGTCCCAAAAAGTGAAAAATTTCGTTTAGAAGCTCTAGTGGTCCGAGAAAAACCAATAAATCTAATTTATACATCGAAATTAGCCAAATTCTAGTCGAAAAAAAACTTGAAATAATGATTTATAAGATTTGACTTACCCTAAAAAAGATCCTAAAGTGACGCTGTCCGCTTGAACTGCACGATGTAGCCTTTGGACGACATGATCGAACGGGGTCGCACCCAGACCGTGTATCTGAAAGGTGTAGCTTGTAGTTTGCAAGGAATTCCAGCTTACCTAGCCGCCCACGTGGTCCGGAACTGGCTGTGGCAGACCGGGGTCGAGTGCTTTAGGTCGCAGAAGCGGTTAAAAAGCTGAAAGTTTGGCGTTAAATCGTTTGCTTCCATTTTTCTGTCTTTAATTGTTTATATGAATTGGTAAACCAGATTATTTCCAAAGTTTACAGGCTTTAAAATGCCTAAAACGACCCGAAAACGAAAGGAAACCAAAAGAAAAAAAATACTTACATCCGCAACCGGAAACACCGGATGCGGGTCGTTGTGTGTCAAGAGTTGAATGTCTTGCTCCCGGGCGTAGGCTTGCAATTCTGGGGGTACCTGAATACGGCCTTTCCATTACGTTCGATAAAACGTAAAAAATGTAGCTTTCCATGCAGCTTTTAGCCGGAAAATTAGCATTTCCGGTCTCATAAAAATTCCCTGTCACTCCAAAAACCGACCATACAGCACCCGTCCAGCTTCAAATGGTCAACCGTCGGCGGATGATCAGCCCATTCGCACAGCGCTCGCATCCAGGCAACCGGAACGTCACCCACGCCCAGGGATGAGATTTTTCGGCTCGAGCTCAACGCCTCGGCCTCCGTCCAGATTGGCTGGAAACCGGGCATTTTAGGCACAAAATCCATGAAAGTCTACCTTAACCGCCTCCAGCCAACGTGCGGTTTCCGCTTCTTCAGATTCTCCATCGACTAGCTCGAGCTCGGGGAAAGCGAGGATCAGGAGCTCGATGTCGTCGGTTTTCAGCTGCTCGACGAGGCAGGCGAACGATTCACGGACTTCTGTTGGGTCCCAGGAGGAAAGGAATACCTTAAAATATCTTTAATTTTTGGGGCCTCTATATAGAATTAAAGTTGCATTACCTAAATACGCGAATTTAACGTTTCAAATACCTTCAAAGTAATCTTCAAATCATCGCGAACGTAGCGATTGATGTGCTCGCGATCGCAAAGCAGCAGCGTGCCGTCTTCCCTGAAAATTCAGCGTTTCTTTCCTCAACATTTAATCCATTTTCCTCTTGTTTAGCTTACTTAAAATCGCTCGGGCACGGCGTGCTCTGAAACTGCAAATTCAAACAGGCCTCCAGCTCTTCGGACGAGTCCTTGAACCTTAAAACTTCTGAGTTATTCGTTTTTCATTCTAAACTGATTTGCAGATTTTTTTGAAACAAACCTCTGCGCTTTCAGCTCGTCGTACGAGTTAATGTTGCCGGTGTGCAGCCGGAACGAGTGCAAATTGTCGAGTTTCTGCATGAAACCCTCGAAGCCGTCCATCTTTTCCTAGTCTTGCGGGCGGTTTAAACCTGAAAAGGGGCTTTCTAGAAAGGTGGTCATCAAAACAAGGCCAAAGAGGTCTCGATGGGAAACAAAAAGAGTAATTTATCAAAGAAAGCTTAGCTAAATTTCGTTTGGTAAGATTTCTAGGCTTCAGGAAACCAGCTAGGCTTCGTTTTGCAAAATTTAACATTACTCGAAATGATTAAACATAAATATATTTATCGTTTTAGCAATTAGTTAGTCCAAAGAGATCAATTTCTTTGTCTCGAGAAAAGAATCACGACGTGATAAATAATGCAGACGGCCCACGGGATCCCGGCGTACATAGCAGCGCAGCGTACCACTGGCGATTGACAACAAAATTCCTTATATTTTTGTGTTTTTCTAACATTTTTATGTGCTTTCCTAACATAATTATGTAGTACGTTTATTCCTTTTATAACACCGGATAATTCCCTAAAAAATTTTGTAAATTGAATGGCGAATCTGGGGAAAGCAAGAAGCAGTAAGGCAGCAGTAATATCACAGTAAGAATCGGGGGCGCGCTACATACTACAGCCTACATTGTTTGTACTAAAATCTGGGCAATTATGCGTGGTATTAGTCGTAGTATACTGGGATGTGGTAAATGCTATGGATAAGGTAAGGCAACGCTTCGGGGGTCACCGGTTTTTCGGGGGTGACAAGGCAGGGCTGGGCAGTATAATTACAAGGAAATAATAACATTTAAGCTATGGTTTCATAGAATTTGATAATTCAGACGTGTAGCCCGTTGAATAGGTACATAGTCGAGATTCCGGCCGAGATTAGGGCCAGTTGTTTTAGGGTTTGCCTAAAATTACAGGATTTTTGACGTAGATTTTCGGGTTAAAAAATATTTTGGACGATTTTTACGGCTTTAAAGGCTACACTAACTTACTTTGGACACGTCTCGTTCATCAGCTCGGGCAGAATCTGTGCCAGGGCGATGTTGATGAAGCCGCCGGCCGTGAATGGGAGAACCCAGGCGGCCGAGCCGCCGAGTGAAGCGTCAGAATGGAGCCAAAGTGCCGAAATCGAGCCGGCGACTCCAGCGACTGCGGTGATGGCCTAAAATTCTGGTTTAAATGGGTTGGTAAGGGAAGAAAATTGATGTCATAGTTCGGAGAATGGGACAAGAAGCGCGTTTTTGATGGTTTTTAGCTGTTCCCTTTCGAAACTCACAAATAAATGAACAGCGGACTCCTTTTCCAAGCCCTTTAGTTATATAATTAGTTCTAAAGAGATTTATAAGGCGTAGATATAGGTTTTTGGCTATGGATTGGCTGCGTTTTTCCGCGCCGGCGACAAGCAACGCGGTCGCTTTTGGGATGTGTTTAGTAATAGCTGACTGTATGAATAGCTGACTCGTTGCATAGAGCGGGTCTAAAAGGTTTTCATAGCAAATATTTAGATAGATCCACAAAATCCATAGATTTGCCTTGCCGGCTCCTTTAAAATCTAGCTACAAACCTGAGCTTTCACAGCACTCCATCGATCGAAATCGGCTCGCAGCAAAATTGCAAAATCCGAGACTTCATGCGGAATTTCGTGCAGCAAGATAGCTGCGGTAGTCACGAGTCCGCACTAAAATTTTGGAGGTCTTATAAATGCCTTTTAACGTTTTAATCAGCCTATGGTATCGCCCTCCAGCCATCGAGCAATTTAGGCCGAAAAAATTCTATATACTTACCGTCGGGGACACCAAAAACGACCCTCCGACGGCCAGCCCGTGCGTGAAGTTGTCGACGATGTTTGCGGCCAGGTTCATCCACGCACACATCTGAAACAAAAGTATTTTTCTAATACGTCTTTATTACAGATAAAAACGTTCAAAAATAGCTGAACTTGCGGGCTTACCCTATGCTGGCTCTCTTCGGTATGGGCGCACAGTTTCTCGACGAAGAAACAGACGAGAAGGCCGGCAAGTACCCAAAGACCCACGCTGGCTCGATCCACTAAAAAATAAGATATGATCGGTCGTAAAGTAAGTTTTAGTTACCCAGAAAAGATGTAGATCGATTAAAAACCTGCTTACCTTGATGCGTTGACCACGTCTCTGGTAGCAGATGTAAGAAGACGTCACCGAGCAGGGAGCCGACAGCAAAGGAGAGAAGCAGGTTTAACTTTTTGCGGCCGTCTAGAAATTGTATATTAATTGTCTATACCGATTTTTTTTGATTAGCTATAGTAAAATATGTAAGTTTCGACCCACCCTCACTCTGCAAAAATTCGCCCGAGTTTGCCGGAAGCAGGAAGGCCGGGACAATGCCGCAGGCGACGACCAGGAGGCAGCCTGGAAGATAATTTTTTTATTGCCCAAAATCCATAATTTGATAATTATTTTAACTACAATTAAATAAATTTGAGTGACTAGGTTCCTCAAATTTTAGGTTGCGATAAAAACCATAGCACGAAAACTGGTTTTATCAGCTTTTTTTCTGGTGTTTTTGAGCGGAAAATGGAGCGATTAAATAAGCGTTTTATACTAGGAACTACTATTAGGTACATTTTGGCGCCACTTTTTGACAGGTTCGGTATTTCTGCGCCACTGCCACGTCACCCCCTTGCAATGCCAAGTCACCCGTATTTTAGTGCAGTTTTCACCCAATGTTACACAAAATGTTTGTAATGTATTTAAAATATTTACTGGAAAGGTTAGGTCAGTTTCTGAAAATGTTTACCTTCAAATTTCCAATGTCACTCTATTGTGTTGGCCCTTCAAATTCGGGCAAAACTCAATGGGTTAAAAAATTTGTTGAAAATATTGATACTTTGGTTCAAGGACCCCCTATCAAACGCATAATTTACTGCTATGGTGTGTATCAACCCATTTTTGAAGAAATGGCGCGGAACGAGCCACGTCTAGAGTTTATGGAAGGTCCCCCGACCCAAGATGACCTGAAAAATGTTGAAAATTCGTTGATAATCCTAGATGATCTGTTTCACGAAATGAAAGATAGCAAGCTTCTCACAGCACTGTTCACTAAATTGGTGCATCATTCAAGTTGTGCCACACTATTCATTACACAGAATGCCTTCTTTGGGAATCGGAGCTCCCGAGCTAACGCAACCTATCTCGTCCTAACCAAGAACAATTCCGATAGACTACAAATTAGAAACCTTGCCTATCAACTGTTTCCCGAAAAGCCTCGTTATCTAATTGATAGCTACGAGGATGCCATGGAAAACCCGTACGGATACTTGGTAGTCGATAACCACGTTACAGCCGACGCAAAGCGCAGACTTTTTACAAGCATATTTCCCGATAAAAGCCTAGAAGTTTACGAAATGCTATAGTTTAATGGCAACTTCAAAAAAGCTAGAACGACTTTACACTAATATTAAATCGCCGGCCTCTTTCTCGTCGGCAACAAATTTGCGGCGTCATGCCAAAGGGGTTAGCAAGGCTCAAGTCGATCAATATGTTAGATCAAAACCTTCATTTTACTTGCATAAGCCCGCCGTTCACAATTTTCCAAGACGCAAAACAACTGGCAGTAGCCTTCATAGCCACCATCAAGCCGATTTGGCAGTCATGGCAAACATTAAAAGTTACAACTACAACTACAGATATATTTTGCTAGTTGTCGACTGTTATTCCCGGCAAATTTTTACGCGACCTCTAAAAACAAAGTCTACAAAAGAAGTGGCACAAGCTTTCGCAGAAATTTATACGGAATTTGCCCCGTATTACTTAATTACGGATAGGGGATTGGAATTTACAGGAGGTCCCATGAAGGAACTGTGCAAAAGGCTAGAGATTACACAATGTTTTCCAAAGTCCATAGTAAAAGCGGCCATGGCCGAGCGGTACATTAAAACTTTAAAATATCGCCTCTACCGGTATTTCACAGAGAAAAACACGTATCGATGGTTTGATGTATTGCAAAACTTTACAAAGAATATCAACCAAACGGTCAACTCTGCAATTAAGATGAAGCCTAGCGCGGTTACTTGGACAACCCGTTTAACAAAAAATGTTGAAAAGGAAGCACATGTCAAAAGCTCAATTCTACCTGGTGATACAGTGGTCCTAACAAAAGGAAAGGAGACTTTTCAAAAGGGATATGCGGGACACTGGAATTCTGAATTCTTTACGGTTGACTCTGTTCTAAAAACTAACCCCAATACCTACATTTTAAAGGATCTAAATGATGAAATAGTCGATAAGCGCTTCTATAGCGAAGAAATTCAAAAAATTATCCCTCCGACTGTCCATGTCATTGAAAAAATAATACGCTGTCGTAATGCAGCCGACGGCCGGGAATGTCTCGTAAAATACAAAGGCCATGGGCCACAGTTTAACCGTTGGATACCCGAAGCAGAGGTTGTTACCGTACACAGTGAAATAGATAAATAGCTGAAATGTGCTAAAATTTCAATTGTAATGTCCCGTAATCGTCTTACGAAACATATTCCTTTGCTCGAAGCCGTTGCAAACCCAAAAAGTGTTGAAAAACAACTGGAAAGTGCAACCGACTACGAAATCTCCCTTTTAATTGAACTATTTTTTAATATTACACAGGGCCGTGTCCCACTATTCAAATACGAAGCAGCTACTTTGAAAAAGTATCTGCCAGTTATCGAACAAATTGCAAAAATTCGCAATTACTCAGAGGCTCGAAAGGCTTTGAAAGAAAATTTGAAACTAGTTTCGCTTGTTGCCAAGCCAGGCATTGAAATTGGTAAAAATGTACAAGGATAAAAAGTTTTTTCGAAAGTTGGTTATCCCACCAGCTGATATCATCCAGCAAGGCGATGGTTACGAAAATACACCTCGTGAACAGTTTGTTGAAAGGGCCAAAGAAGCAGAGAGTCAAATGAAAAGGGCTCTCAGTGACAATCTTCCCGACGATGTGCAGATGAAAATCTATCAACAGTTTCTAAATCTCCTTACAAAATTGGCAGGTGAAATTCAAACAATTGACAAGGGTCAAAAGCCAGTGGTACTCCCAATTCCTCAAACAACCCCAGAAACTATTGAAGATTTTGGAGCTACTACCAAAGTACCTATCAATCGAAATAAAAGAATAAAGAGACCCCGAGCAAAAGTCGAACCTAGCCAAAAGATTTATAATACTTTGAAAAGGGCTGTACGGACTGACGATCAAGATAGAATCCTAGATGAGAACGGCATGAGTATCTCTGCCAGCAACATCTTTGAAATAGCAAGAGCTGCAACTACAGGCTACACTTACTATACACCCGAGGGGTATAATGAGGCGTATGCCCAGGTTCAGAAAAAGTTTCCAAAAGTGGCAGCACAGATGCAACCTCCAAAAGTTGTTAGTAACCCTCCCACCCCTATCAAACTAAAAGGCGATGGCTTAGAAAAATGTTTTCGTGTATTTAAGTATAAACAATGTTGTTAATTGAATAAAATGTTAGAAGACGGACTTTTGGTACGTTCAAGTTCAACACAAACCAACTTTTCAACCCGTAGTTATACATTAGCAAAGGCCCGAATAGTTATAATTTTCCTAATCGTTATTGCTTGCTTGATAAACATGACTATAGCCCATATAAAGGGCTCCGACTTGTCAGTATGGCTAAGTGCAACTCTTTCTATTGCCTGTTTACTTGTACCTTCCCCTTTAAAAAGTAAAATTAAACAAAATGAGTGATGATTTTTACGTAACAGTTGTTGGCCCCTCATACAAAAGGGGCGGCACGTTTATTAATCACCTATCCAAAGAAGTTAGTATGTTTGGCCCAAATAGCAGAGCAAGTCAATGGGCCTGTGCCCTTGTTGAACTTGTTGCCACTGGCGTTTCTGATCAGATATCCGAAAACCAAGCAATAAAGTATTTTCCAAAAGATGGCCAAAATAAACAATTTTCATTGCCGGCTGGCAATTATCTGAAACCTACACGCTTGGCAAACGCCCTCAACTCAATTTTTATAAAGACGCGCAAGCGACGTGATGTTTCCGTAACGATACCCGTGTTACCGTCAAATGTTGGTGAAAGCGGACCCGCGACAAAACTACTACCTAGGAATGATGGATCTGCGCAAGCAGAGCCAGTCGCAAAACCCCCCAAAATTTCTAATGAAATTCCCAAAAACAGTCCGGTCCAGGCGGCAGCCACTGCCGAACTGCCAAAAAATAACACTGCCAGTGGAGGTGCTGCAAAGACTACAACAACTCCAGCCGATTTACCCAAAAATTCTTCAGAAAAGCCATCAAAGCCTGTAACTGAAGACTTGCCCCGAAATGCGCTAGCAAATACACCAAAGCCCGTAACTCAAGACTTGCCGAAAAATGTCCCTGTACAACCCACCCCTGCGAGACCTGCAATAGCAGCCCCAATCCCCGTGCCTGCAAGGCCTGAACCTGTGCGAGCCCCTGAGCTACCAAAAAACGTTTCACAGCCAGCCCAAGTTTTAACTCAGCTTCCGATACAAGCCTCAAGACTTGTCTCTCAAGGCCCAGTGGTAAAGCCGCCCAAAATTGAATCCTCACCCCAGAGACTGCCAAAAGTGGAGGAAAGGTTTGAAAATGTTCCAGTTGCCAAGCTACCAAGTTTTACAGATAGTTTCTCCTTTGACTTGAAACTAAAAGCTTTAGAAGGTTTTGGAGTTGGTTTTGAATATGACGAAAATCAAGGACGCTTCTCCCTTGAAATTGACACACAAAGGGTCAAGAAAGTTGTATTACCCACTTTGCTATGGCAAATGATGGGCTTCGAGGCAGATACTATTAATGCCTCAACTCAGGCAAGATACTTGCCAGATTTAAACTTTGATTGTCGCACACTAAGGGTATATTGCGACCTTATTGAGCCCCATATGGTAGGCGGCAAAGAGATGGAACTGCTGCGTGCAATGGCAAACGATGCAAAGCCGGGCGCAACCTTTTGCAAAGCATTTAATCCGCCCGTATACCACCTTGTCAAGCAAGGAAATTTCAATACTATAAAGTTGCGGATAACAAATGAAAGGGAACAAGAAGTTTTACTAAATCCTGGACAGTCGCTGGCCCTCTTACACTTTAAAAGGGTTTACTAAACTGTAAAATTCAGTCTAATTAAAATGTCTGTAACCAACGCTTACGCACCATTCGACCCAATGGGTATCGCCTGGGCCTTTGGCCACGCTGTCAAAGCCCCGCTGTCCAATGTTTTGAAAGGCAACGGACGTCTAGTCCCTTTTAGAGATGGAAAATATCTATTGCCTGTCAACAAGCCTTTGGACTTGCCGCCTCAAATTTTGAAAAAGTCACTGAAAAAGAAACAAGTTTTGCCTCCCTTGAACCCATTTCCAAAAAGTAGAAAAGGCGCCCAGAAACGAAAACATGTCATTCTAACTTCTATCCCACCCACCAAATTTTAATGTCAACAATCAAAACCCTTGAAGCCAACCCTGAACTGGCATTTTCTAGTGAGTTGGCACTTTTCGAACCTATTCAACATGTTGTTGGCGTTCAGTCGATGCGTTATCGCAGCATTGCGCCAGAAAATAGTTCGCTTAACCAAACGGGTCCTTACACGTTTCGGATAATGAAAGAACCAAATTTTATCTCACTGGCCCGTTCCTATGTGACAATGACACTACGGCTCGTCAACTCAAAAGACGAAGGTTACGACCATTCAAAAACTGAAACCAAAGACAACAAAACAACCATCACCATTTCGGAGAGATGTGCTCCAATTCAATACGCGGCGCGTTGCTTTTGGAAGCAAATTACGGTAAACATTGGCGGCACACAAGTTGAAAACACTGGAGATCTATATCCTTACAGAGCTTTCCTTAATGCTGAATTTATGACTGATGCAAATGTAAAAAGAAATAATCATGGGCTTGCCCAGCTCTATCATTCCTCCGAGTCCGGCGCGGACTTGCAAACTAACGACGGTTTTGAGAATTTGAGTGTCTTGTTCAAGGAGGGAGCTAGCGTTCAAGTTAATAGTCCTTTGGACCTAAACCTGGCGTCTACAAATCGACTACTTTTGAACAATACGGACATGCAAATTACTTTGCATCGTCAAAACGACCGTTTTTTGATTCGTGGATATGGTTCGGCGGATGAAACTTGGCGATTGGTTGTAGATGACATTCGGCTCGTCGTGGCCGAATATCAACTCTATCCATCGACCATGGCAGCCATTGAAAATCAGTTGGCCCTCGGGAAAAAGGCCAGTTATCCAATGAGAAGCTATCAGACCAAAGCTTTTTACTTGCCGGCTGGCACACTAAAGATGCCAGAAACTCAACTATTTAACTCTAATCAAATTCCTAGACGTATATTTGTTGGTCTAGTATCCCAGGAGGCTTTTGTTGGCTCTTATCAAAAAGATCCCTGGCGTTTCAACCACCACAATCTAAAGAACATGCAAATTCACTATGGAGGCCAAACGATACCGCATAAGCCTTGGAACCTGCGCTGGGACCTAAACGGCATGGGTTGGACTGAGGCCCACACCCAAATGCTTGAGGGAACCGGCATGGCCGGCAGTAATCTAACGAACGGAGTCGATTACCACCACTTTAGAGACTCTAGATGTGTCCAAGTTTTTGAACTTTTACCCGACGCTGATGGAGGTGTCGAAAGTTTTGATATGGCCATTGCTGGCCAATGTTCGCTAGACTTGGAGTTGTCTGAGCCTGCTCCGACAGGTGGCCTGTATTGTATCGTACATGCAGAGTTTATGGACAAACTTACCCTTGATATAACTAGACAGCCCCAGACTTTGGCAGTATAAATGGACAACCTACAGTTGGAGAGACTACTTTCCACAAACTTTATTACAAGACGCCACTTTCGCGGAATTTTTACTTCAAAAAACTTACCGGAAGCCAATTGTAATGGGTCGTATGTCATACACGAACACAACCACTGGACTGCTTGCTATGCTGCCGGCTCCACCGCCTACTTTTTCGATTCAATGGGGCAAGCCCCTTCTAGTAGAGTTCGACAATGGTTGCAAAAACATTTCAAACAAGTCTTTTACAACGAAATCCAGCATCAAGAGTATGGAACCCGGACTTGCGGCGCATTTTGCCTTGTTTTTCTTCATCAAATGTCTCTTGGGACAACATTTTGTGACTTTGTCAAGTTTTTTCGCGCTATATCTAATGATGACTTGTATGTAATTGCCTATTTGCAAAAATATTTCCAAATCGTCTTGCCCCTGACCTATGCCTCTCGGCAAAAAGTATAAAAGCAGTACGTAGCAGGAAGGATCAGTCATTATTCTTTCAGTCTTACTTTTTTTCTTATTCCCGAATGGATTCAGCTACCGTAACCAAGAACTCTTGCTCCAAATGTCAAAGAGAGTTTTCGACTAGCTCTAATCTATCCAGGCATGCTCGTCAGAATTGCCGCGGCCCTTTGAACACTCAAACAGAAAATCCCACTTGGGTTTATCCTGAACACGGAAGGCTACCAAAGTTTTTCCCAGGACCTGAAGACACCTTTACAACTGAGCAGATGGCAAATGCCCAACCGACTGAAGAGCAACTCGAAACAAAATCTGTCAAGGAGAATCCTAAAAACCCTGTCAAAGATTTGAACGGGAAAAAAGTTTTTGAAATTTTGTTTTTTCATGATCCTAGCACTAACAATTTTACTTCTGTTGTTCGACCCCATTTCCAAACCCTCACTAGATTTCGTGCATAATTTTTCCTAAAATTTTACTTGTGATTAGTGTGTTCTATAAGAATAAATTATTAATTTACCCAATTTTGAAGCTAAAACACGTGTTAACAACATTTACAACATTTCATCTGCCTAAAACATGACACAGACACCAGTTACCATATCCCTGCGTCTATGATCTGTACGGACAGTCTGGCTCCAACCGCAGGGAACACGGGGGCGCTTGCGCGCTGGCAGCGCGTAGTTCTAAGAGACAACAGACGACGAGGCATAGCGCACAGGCATTGGGCAAGCCCAAGAGACGATAGACGACGAGGTGATCGCGCGGTTTGCGCGTAACTACAGAGATTTTAGACAACGAAGTGATCGCGCGGGCAGCGCGTATCCCTAGAGATTACAGACAACTAATGATCGCTCGCTGTGGGATTGCCCGGTAAAAGACGCACGCCTGAGCGTCCGATAGTTCATATAGGGACGGGGGACTTCCCATAGATTCTATACGTGGCTCGTTCCGCGCCATTTCTGAAAAATGGGTTGATACACACCATAGCAGTAAATTATACGTTTGAGAGGGGATCCTTGAACCAAAGCATCAATATTTTCAACAAATTTTTTAACCCATTGAGTTTTGCCCGAATTTGAAGGGCCAACACAATAGAGTGACATTGGAAATTTGAAGGTAAACATTTTTAGAAACTGACCTAGTCTTTCTAGTAAATATTTTAAATACATTACAAACATTTTGTGTACATTAAATACGGGTGACGTGGCATTGAAAGGGGGTGACGTGGCAGTGGCGCAAAATTCCGGGCATGGCGCCAAAATGTACCTAATAGTAGTCTAGGATTGTAATTTAATACCCACCAACAATCGACCCGACCCAGGCCGACAGCGAGATGCCATGACTCCTCGATTGGGCGGCAGCTTCCGACAAAACTCTCGAAATCTCCTCCTGCTCCAGGCGAAGCTGCTCTTCTCGTCTAAATCCTGGGTCATCTACCGTATCCCAAAACCGCACCGTTTCGCTTGCTGTCTCAAAGGCTCGATAAGAGATGGTGAAGGGTCAATAAGCCCCTCTTTCCTCCCGTCTGGTGCCGTCAAGAATTGGTGGTCGTCGAGGAGACTTCCCAGGCCGACTCCCAGAAAATCCGGACCCGCCGCCGGATGGTGGTGGTTGGCGAGGCCTGAAAAAGCAGTGTTAACGAGTTCATAACAGTGTAAGGCTTTTTAAGGTAAGACACTTCCTCTAGGACGCAAAGGATCCCGGATCGGGGAATAAAAAGTCTACCTTGGAGCTGGGCGGAAACAGTAGCCAGTAGGAGTCCAGAGGCCACGAGGACCCGAACGGGCCCACCCATGTTGAGCTCTGCAATAGGGCTTATTACAATTTTTAAGGGGAAACCATAGATAAAAGAGCACGAAAAAATTCATAAAATCACTATTTTATATTGGTAATACTCATTGAATAATTTTTTTGAATAAAAATGGGTTAAATGCCAGACAAATAGCTATAACCCGCATTAAAAACCCCCGAAAAACCGGGGATTTAGTCGTCGAGAATTCCCTGGAAAATGCGAAAAAACAGCAAAAATACTTTTTAACGGGTACAAATGAAACAAAACATTTCAAATAAAATCTCCAAAGAAATAAGAAGAAGTTAAAGAAATAAAGCCTGGCGTAAAAACGCGCAAAAGCTAGAATTAAGTCTCTAAAATTTGTTCTAAACAAACCTATATCATATACTCTCAATTTATAGCCTATATTTTGCTTGAAATCAGGCTACAGAATTAACATGTGTTTTTGGGCCGTAAAATTGTTCGGACTGGATTGTTGGCGCGTGCTTCCTGTCTTCTCCCGAGATAAGCGATCAGTGTACATACGCGAGAATGGAGAATTTCGACGGTCAAAGAATTTGAGCCGCACATTGGGGCTCACTTTGGGATTTCCCCGCAGCGTCTCGTCACCGAGTCGAAATCGTAAACCGGTTATCCGGGGAAGGATGTGAGAGAGGATGTGACACCAAGGGGCTAAAGGCATCCCCGGGTTTTGTCGTTCCACTGTCTTTGGTCAAAATCTCGGGGAATTTGGGTTTGAAAAAATTGTAAAATAGCGGAATGGAACGGAAAATTTGAAGAATGGCTAAATGAAAGAAAGACAATATAAATTGTTAGGCTAAATTTAAATGTGGATTGAAAAGAACCCCGAAAATGCTTCGGAAATGATGCTTTAAGAGAAGCAGAACATTCGAAAATTTTGGTAACCCAAAAAGAGCACCAAGAGAGAAAAAAGTAAGTTACATAAAAGAATCTTAAAATTCGCTTAAAATAGCATCAAAATTTTTAAAAATCCTCTAACAGTATGAGACTAATTGATTGACACGTAAATAACGGATATCGCTTTTGACATTCGGTGGGAATGCGGAGCGCTCCGGAATTTTCATTTTGGTTGCCAGGCGCGAAGCTGTCAAGTAAGGTTTCAACTGTGAATTTGAAGGTGAGACAACAAAACTCCACACACCCAAAAAGAAACGTCAAGCAATATCTATTTGCCGCACAAAAAAGAATGGACACCAACAGAAAAGAGGTGGCCATTCGCGCCCTAAATTGATGAATCATCACGTCAAAATATCGGAACGTTGACCTGATCCTTCGTCTTTTTGGTTTTGAAAGAAACAAGCTTTAAAAATCATGATCTTTACAGATTTTTACTCTTCTGCCTGGAAACTTATGAAAATTGTAGAAATGCGGATAAGCAAAAATTATTAAAAGAAAAAGCAAAAAAAAATCGAGCGATAAGTTGGTTGACCGGATAGACACTTATTTTATCAAGAATTGTTTCATTTAATACAATGTTCATTTTTATTCGAATTTTTCACGGCCTTCTAGCCAAACCTACAAAAACCCTTTGAAATCCTATTTTACTGATAAAAGAAAGATGAAAGATAAAGAAACCGCTAAAAGAATTTTGAAAAAGCAGCTTCCGTTTGATCATTGAAGAACTAAATATTTTCTCAAACATAGTTTCATTTAAGCTCTAAATTTGGTTTTATTTTGAATTGATTTAGCTAAACTTGTAAAGAAGCCAAAATTCCCGATTTTCCAAAGTTTCACCCCGATGTCACGATCGGTAACCGGAGTAACCGAGGCGCTTCGTAATCCCCTCCCCCTACCACACAAATACTTACATGCGGATCTTGGAATAAAGGGGATGACTTGAGAAGCGGGAGCTTCACAAATACCTTGAAGTCCTGGCAAATCACCTGGGTAACTTTGTGTAATTAATTAAATCGGGGGCTTAAACTTTTAGGTTCATTAATTAGTCAATAAAATCAAGGCAATAAAAAATTAATAGTAGTAGATTATTAACGAGTATAAATTCTGTGTATAAATAATATCTTAAATAAGATGTTAATAATTAAAAAATTTGCAAAAATAAAAACGTCACGCGATTTTAGCGAGAAAGCTGAAAAAATCATCAAAATTCCTGGTTGAACGCTCAGCTTTAATTTAGCATCTAACTTTAATAAAAAGACGCGCGATATTTCAATAGCTAAAGGCAATTTTATTATAATTCAGTCTACAAAAAAACTACATTAAAAAAAGGCTTTTCCAAAAGATCCCGCTCTGAAAATCAGTCAGAAATGACAAGTTTTCCTTATAAATTGTCACTAAATTGTTCTAATTAATTTTAAGCGCAAAAAATTACTGAATTAACAATTCTAAACAATTTTCCGATTAGCAAAAATCCATAAATTTAAGGATGCGACTAATCGAGTTCCAGTGGGGCCGCGACGCTCTCAAGAGACGGGGCGAGGCGGCTGTTCCGGGGGAGGAGGAGGAGGGGAGAATGAGGGTGGGAGAGAATGGATAGAGTGAGCAAGAGAGGGAGAGAGAAGGGAAGGAGCACGAGCTGAGTGTGCCCCGGGGGCATCTTTTCTGCCTCCAAGGGCTGCTGGTGTTGGGGGAAGGGTATTGTTGCGTACTCATAAAGGAGCAGCGGTGGGGTTGTGGCAGCTGGAAGACCCCTTTATGCCCTCCGGGGGTTCAGCTGGCGTGCTCGGTGATGCGCGAGAAGAGAGAGAGAGAGAGAGAGAGCGAGAGAGAGTGAGAGAGAAAGAGAGCGATAGAGAGGGGGAAGCAGATAAAGGGTACTAAACGGACCTTCTACCTTTGTTTTCATGGTTCGAGACGGAGGCAAAAGTTTTATCCGGAAATTTTATCCAAAGAACTTATTTTGCACTTTGTCACTAAAATCGGCTCAAGCCAGCCGAGATCCTTTGTGGAATTTCGGGACCTTGAGATGGACGACCGTAATTTTTGAGCCTATAACACAGTTTTGGACTCCAGCTACCGTAGCGACAGATGAAAGCTGGGAAAACGAGGGCAAGCTAGCATAGATTCTTTGCGGAATTTGAGGATTCGAGATGACGATGCAAAATTATTCGGTGTATCCGGCGTATTTCGATAGTCATGCTAGGGCTACCGTAACCATCTATCTAAATCTGGGGAAGCCATGGCAAGCTAGCAGAGCTTCTTTGGGGAATTTAGTCTATAGCGGAAGACGCTGAATTATCAGGCTTATATAACGAGATTTTGGCCCTAAGTGGTACTCCTTTTACCGTAACCGGCCGGTCGAGATGACCGAAAGATTGTTGTAGCTACCGTAATCGCTGGTATCAGCCTAGACAAGTGAGGGCAAGCTAGCGGGGATCCATTGCAAAATTAAGAGACCTGAAAATTGCGCGTTTTTATTGTGGAATCTCGCCAAAAACATACTCATCCCAATGTGCAACTACTGTAATCACCCCGATAACCTTGGCAAGGGAAGGCAAGCTAGCAGTGATTATTTGCAGAATTCAGAAAACTCAGCCGGATGACCTAGGCGTCTTAAAGTGTGCTCCAACTGCCGTAACCACCGCTATAAAACTCGTAAAGTGAAGGCAAGCCTGCAGTGATTTTTTGCGGAATTATCACCAAACATCCAGGCGCCCTAAAACGCTACCCCCAACCACCATACAGCCTATATAACCCTGAGAAAGTGATGGTACTTGAGCCTGGGAAAACCACTAGTAAACATGCCGCAAAACCGGTTTATCGCTGCCCAAAGAATTGGGAAAAGCTTTTGAAGCCCAAATTCCATCGTTGCAAATTGGCTGGCCAGATGGTGAGGATGGGTGTGGGTGTGTGAGAATTTCTTTGCATACCCAAAAAGGAAGGGGTCGCATCGGGGAGACATGTGGAATATTTTAACGATTCAAAGGAGTAGCGAGTTTCTTGGACTCCAGAATACTTTAAAAAAGCAAATTTTGCGGATGTTGGGGGGTATCGCAACGGAACGGTTTTTGTTTTTAATGAAAAGCCCCAGAGAAAATAGCTGTTTTAAGTGCATTATAATTACCTGAATTTTGCGTAATTCGTCCGTTTGTTCTATTCGAAACCTGGAGATTTAGGAACTGGAAATTCTGACAAATAAACTTATATAAACATGATTAAGAAAGATATAGAATTAATTAAAAATTGAAATCATGTTTGCACGATTTAAATCCGGCAAATAGAGCCAAATTAGCGTTTTAAATTTATTTGAATTACTTAAGCCCATGGCGATTTTCTGGAACTGGTATTATAGTGTTGAATTTCTTAATGTCGAAATTTTTTTTCCATTTTTCTTAATCAAAAATCTGGGGAAAAACTCAAAAACACTATGAAGGTATCCATTTAGAGACTAACATTAAAGCTGATTTCGAGCTTCTAACTTTATGGGGCTAATAGTGACGTAATCGTACTCGATAGGCCGGCTAGACGGGCGGCGTAGAACGTTCTAGAAGGAGAAAATGAGAGCGGGGATGGGTGAGGACAGGAGAGTGAGACTGACTGACTGGAGGAGGGAAGGACTGCCCATTCAATGGCACACTCAATGGGCAAAATAGGGGGAGGAGGAGCGCGAGCTGGTCTGAAAAGGGAAGAGCACGAGCTTCCGGTTACTGTAAACAACTTGGCAAACAGCTTCTATGGTACGAAAAGGATTTTAAAGGCACCATACAGTTAGTTTTACCTGGCAAGTGTCTTTTAAAACGCGCAAAAAGCCCTAAAAAAATTCTGGGATTTTCCTAAAAACCAAAGATCTCTCCTGATTAAAACATTATTTTTTGTAATTTGTAAGGATTAGTATTTAATTATTTTGTAAGAAAACCCAGGGTAATTCCAATAAAAAGCGCCACAAAAAAAGACTTAAAATTGCTCGTGTCAAACATGTTTCTACGTTAACTATAAGCCGAATTAAGGTACGGTAAAAGACAAAAAGTAAAAAAATAAAACAGTTCAACAAATCAAACAAATCACAAAAAATCAAAGAGTGCCAACAAGTCTTTACATTTTTTACCCTAAAAGAAGGTGGGTAAGTGGTGCAAAAACGCTAAAGCCGCGAGCAGCCCCGAGAAGAGCGGCAGAATCTCATTAAGCGGTGCCGTTTGAAGCTTGGAAGAGGCTTCTCGAACGTTCCATTTTGTAGAGTTGCGCCTTTGAATCTCTCTCTCGGCCTGCCTTCTCTCTCGCTCTCTCTCTCTGTCTCTCTCTCGCTCTCTCTCTTCTGCTCTCTCTCTCTCTCTCCCTATCTCGTTCGCGCCTACGTCGCTGCAAGTAGAAACTTCATCAAATTTCACCAAACTAGCAAATTTTATTATATGCCTCATATTCCTATCGCCATAACCATGCCTAAAAAAAGATTCAGCAAAGATTGGTGTCCCTTTTTCGATTCTATCCCGATCTCCCTGGATCTCCATAGTTAGGCATCGTCCTCCCGATCGGCGGCTCTCACATATAAACAGTGGCCGTCTCTCTCTCTCTCTCTCTCTCTCTCTCTCTCTCTCTCTCTCGCTCTCTCGGCTACTTCTTTCTTCCCGTCACAAGCCATAACGTGAATCGATCCGATCTCAAGGTTACTTTGATTCAACGCCTCTAAATAACGGGGAATGAGGAAGGGAATGCCACCGCTCGTGTCCTTTTAAAGGGACCGGGAAGTAAAGAAAGCTAGCTACAAAAGTTAAAGCGAGAGAGGAAAGAGAGATAGAGAAAGGGAGAGAGTGAGAGAGTGAGAGTGTGAGAGACGGGGGAGAGGAGGGCGAGAGAATGAGAAAGGGAGAGGAAAGAGAGAACGAAAAATTAAGAGAGTGAGTGTGAGAGAGAGGCAGAGCGAATGAGAGGGAGAAAGAAATTTTCCAAAAAAGTCCGTCAGAAATATTTATTCACATTCACATTCAATAGCTTAGAAGCGGTAATTTTTGGAACGTCATTGCATCGGAATTAAGCGGAAATACTTCGGTCACAGGTCGAGAGGGCCTTCGTGCCTAAAATTTGGAGCTTATGTCTTTCGAATCTTTAAGACCTCAAGGAACTTCGTATCTTAAAAAGCGCTCTATCCACCGTACCATGGTGTGGCCATTCCTCGTCAGAAGCCCGCTCGGTGCCAGGGGATCCCATGCCATCACTGCCGGCTGATAGACAGCCAGAAGAGTCGGTGGAGTTTGAGGGGCGGACCTGAAAACGGAGCTGTATCCCGTATGAAATGAGAAAACGGTGTATGAAACCCGGATAAAAGCCGATAAAAGTGACCAGGGTCATTTTTTGAAAGCTCTTTGGAGGTGTTAGCTGACGCCAGAATCGACTTTTTCTGAGCCTAGGGTAGACAAGAACGCAGCAAGTTAAAACGACGCTGGAAAGTTATTTATCTGGGGCTAGGTCCATGCTGTCAGCGCTTTGAACGCGCAATTTGTTATATCCCGTAGCTTTTGAGAACTAGTGAACGATAGGGGTCGATTTTCACTTCCAAGTATCTTTAGCTATGGCATTTTACCACACCTCAGTGGCGGGCGCGTTGCGTGTCGCGGGCAAAATCTATTCAAAATCTATTCAAATCCACAGCCAAAAATTCATAGTGATCCTCGTCCAGCCGTTTAACTTCTAGCATAGCGCCATTTCATAGATTTCCAAAAACCAGTGGATTTTAAATAGACCTGAATATGCGTAATTTCAATCGTAATCGGTTGACTCCCCTCAACTTATACGTGTTTTTTTTCGCTATGACGAACTTAGCTGCATATAGTTCATAATTGCGTAATTTCCATGAGAATCAGCTGATGCCCGCCTCAATTTCTACACCTACTTTTATTTTTTCTCTGCATTCCCTTCCAATCATCCATCCGCCACGCGGAGCGGAACGGAATGAATGGCCGCATTTTTCGGCTTGTTTTTTTTCTGCGGTGTGGTTCGAGAGCTTTTCCTCGGGACCACCCAGGCAGTGTGCTCGGGCCCATTTCCTCTCCCCTCCTGCCAATGGCCCATCCATTTATATTCACCCCCTAAAAGACCCAGAAAATGACCCCTGGAATCTATAGATTTTCGCTGTCTTTTCTGGCCGGTCCGCTGGGCTCCAAAACACACCACCAAATTCCGACTGACTGACTGATCCTAATGCGATTTTCCCTCGTTTTTTAGGCCGTTGAATTACCATCTTTCCCTGGCCATTCTGGCCTAGACCAACCGCCGAGAATCCAGTCTATTTTGACGTCTGATGAATGGGTTTTCTACGGGGGTTTGGGGCGTATCCGTGGAAAATGAGAGGGGGCGCTTTTTGAGGTGTATTTTAGGGTTAGATAATCCTGGGGCTAAGGTTTTTGGAGATTGTAGTAAATAATTTGGATTCGGTTTGGACAGCTACGCGACTTGCCAACTGACCCGTTGTGGTTGTGACCAGTTTTATTTAACATGTACGGACGCGAAAATTCAACGACGTGGAATCGATTCCTGCGAGTTTGAGCCCCATCAATGTTGCCTCATTAAAGGGAGCGGGAAGCTCCAGAACCTATCTCTCTCCTAGGCTAGGTCTGAACAGCTACGCAATATTCCGATTTACGCACGAACAAGCTGTTCCAAGTCTTTCTTAACAAACGGACGATGTTATCTTTCATAAACCGAGGTCATTTGGCGTCTCGCGTAGTTGTCGGGATCTAGTAGGGGATAGGGGTCGATTCCCGCGCCGCCTTGACATTTCCGTGTTTTTGATTCATCATTTCAAGCGCTATAAAATTAGCGCAAACCCCGATAGAAGGGAAATCATATCTACCGCACTAAAACTCGGCCATTTCTTTCTGCTTCTTTTTTTGATGAATGGGGTAAAAATTTGGAAGACAAATTCTTCCTGCGTATCCCTGGGCATTGCCGGGCCCTCCATTTCTCCCCACGGAGGGGAAATAAAACAGGATTTACGGGCTCTTTTTTGAGGGACCGATAGGCCAGGGGATGCTCGCGGGAAATTTGCACTGGGGTTCTTTGTCTGTGTTGAGGCCACTGTTTTTATGATAATTTACATGCTAAGATTCCGGCTTATCTAAGCGTCGCAGATTGATGAAAATTCCTTTGATGTGATGCTAGAGAATTCAGGATCTACTCACCTTGGAATGGGTGGCGATTTGCAGCGGTGAATTTCCTTGGGCGTACGGGGTTTTCTGAAAAAATCCTATCTTTGGTCGCTCCACCTTGTTCCCCTTTTCCCAAAGTTTCTCTGCTAGCTTGCCCAATCAAAAATTGACTGAATAATCCTAGTTTCGTTGTATTTTCTACCGCTGAGCTCTAACTTTAGATTCCCGAAGCAGCTATTTTAAAATCTTAAGTCCGGCGTTAAAGTGGATTTCCTCAAAAAATTTATGCTGGAACCCGGAACCCATATTTAAATCGATTTAAATGAAAGACATACCTTTAAAACCCTGCGCAACGCCTGACATCCCTTGATCAGATCACGATCTTCGGGGTGATCGGCCTCCAGGCGGAAGATCTCCCTCTCACATTCGCCAAGGCTCAGCTTCTCGCATTTTGCGACCAGTTCTCCGAATAGTCGGTTCTGAAAATCAATTTTTTATCACAATACCAAAATATATCAGAGAAAATTTCGATTTGAATTTCGTAGAATTTTTCATCTTTTCAATTATGTTTTAAAAAAATCAGTGATTTTCTATTTTTTAAGCATTGAGATTTTTAGCAAAGGGTTTTCACGGTGCCAGTTTTATTTAGAATTTCCAATGTTTAATTTTCATGGGAGAAAATTCGCTATTTTGCCGATTTTTTAACATTTAAAATTGTCGCAAAGGGCCTGATATGACATTTAGATATTTCAAATTCCAGTGAAGGATTTGGCACGATTTCAATTCACTTTCAGTTTTTGTGGCATGGAACTATTTCCTCAAAAATCTATGAAATATTCAAGCCTCATTTTCTAAAAGGTCACATTGGCTGGATGCCAGCTCATTGTCGATTCGATTTCACTGGCTTCCATTACGTTCAGTCTCTAAATTTCTGAACTGGTCTAGACAATTTCGAAACGACCCTCTCAATTCCAGAATCAGACTCCCGGAATCGTCTCCGGCCGTTTGTGAGAGATATTGGGGGTGTGGTGGAGGAAGTGGCCGAGGGGTGTAGCCCCGGGCCACAATTTCGACACGACGCGAATGTACTGCTGGGGAAGGGCGATGGAGACCGACAAAACGAAGAGGAGAAGCCGATCGTCGTCTACGAACACGTACACCATCATCAAAACAGAACTAGCAGCACCGATCACAATAGGAACAACTCGTTTCGAAGGCGAATCAGGGTGAGTTTTTTTTCGTTGATTCCAAAAGATTGTCCTGTTTACTTAAAGAATCTCTGCTAGCTTGCCGAGCCGAAAAAATTTCGCATTTTTTGGCGGTTTGCCTTGTCAAAGAAGGGACTTAATCTCTCCATGAATATTTGCTAGCCTGCCCCGAAATGGCTCCGGCTCCCAGACCGGAATATTAGCTTCTCCAAAAATCTCTGCTAGCTTGCCACGGATTTGAAACTGTTTTTTTCGTAAAATTTAAAGTTAAAAAAGCCCATCTTTGCTAGATTGCCTTGGCACTTTCTAGGACGGTTCGTTCATTTCCCAAAGAATCTCTGCTAGCCTGCCACGTGGCTTCGAATTTTTCGAAATCGTGATTATCCGGGTTTGAAAAAGTGCTATATCCTCAATGATCTCTGCTAGATTGCCTGGCAACAAAAATATTTCCATTACCGTAACCTAGCATTTTTGAAACAGCCAGTTATGGTCAGAAAAACAAAGATTTTTGCATAATTATTTTTCGCTCAAATTCGGATGGTTGTGAATTAAATTTTATTGCGGATCGAATAGGCCATGAAATCGAAATCAAAGGACGACCAGCTAAAATCAATAAAAATGCAAATCTAATTGTTAAAAGCCAATATTTAAGAGCAATTTGCAGCATCTCTCCAGCCACGAGACAGGCAGTATTGCCCTCAACCTAATGCTCTTCATCCCCATGCTCGCCTTGTAAGTTTTTATAAATTAAATTTACGTAAACTAAAAACTTAAAATTTAACAATGTCATTTAATTTTGAATATAAAAATAAGGTAATTTTGAATAATAAAACGCCTTTAAAACGCCGAAACCTGCGAATTTAGTTTTTTTTAGTAACGGCGTCATCATATTCCTGTGCTATCGCTTTCTACCCACGGATGAACTTTGCCATGACGTAAGTTTCCAAGGGGCTCGTAGGTCAAGAATCGACCTCTTGCTTTTACTAGGTCTAGACAGCTACGCGACACTCTAACTGACGCAGGAATTGGATTCGGATTTCGCGGATTCTACCTCTTTAGTGGCCACGAAAGTGGCTTAGAGCGTGTAGTTTCACGTACGTCGGAGCTGTCTAGACCTAGTTTCGTGTATTGGTCGATATGCGCGCTTTCTATCCCCCTTTAAACATACCCATTTTCCGGGTTTCTAGGATTTTCACGAAAAAGAAGCGTCGGAGTTGGCTTGTATGGGGAATACTGTACAGGTATGGTGATTTATTCACGTTTTTACTTATTCGAACGTAGTATTTTTTCTATTTTATTGTACTTGATTTTTTAGATGTGGCTCTACGTAGCGCTAGCGATGCTGGTCCTGAATTCTGGCTATCTGTTCCTGTCCGCGGCTTGCGGAGCCTCGTTTTTCGTCTCAGAAGGCCCAAGTCAATACGGTGGAGATACGGACAATACGGAATCCCCGCAAATTATCCTCACCCATTGTGCACCTCCAAATAGGAAAGTTGGCTTTATCGTTTAGCAGTGACCAGAAGCCCAAATTCATTCTATTTCTACCGTAGACGAGTAATTACGCTATGAAAATCCGCGATATCTCCTCAAGACTATTAAGAATTTTTTGGATTCCACTGCGCATGTGGCACGCAAAGAACGCTGCTCAACCAGCTATGTAAATGCGTCTAAATTCGTTAAGCAAGTTCCGCGTTTCGCTACGCGTTGCGTGTCGCGGAGCGGAAAAATCCATAACTACTTCCAAGGACGATCGAATTCGAGCCTTTAAGCTGTGCAAAATAGAAAATTTCGAATGTCGAAAGTACAAACGTCGAAGATTACAGCTACCCCTTCCTTTCCCTTTTCTTTAAAGGCAATTTTTCAGACCTGCTAATGTACATAAGCTTAGTACTGTTTCTGTTAGCTAAATTTTTATCAAGTATCGATCCAGTCTAGACTTAATGTATTATCAGATTGATGCCCCGCTTTTTTTTAGTATCTATTCTGTTTTTCATGTTTTATGCATCTGTTTTTCTGCCCCCTCGAAACCCCATTTTGGCCGATTGCCAAGGGGATGAAGTTCAAATAAGAATTCGCTCTGTTGTTTCCTAGTTACGCCTCGAATTTCTCCTTTTTCTGAGGTCCTCAACCTGCTTGTTTTTTTTTTTCTGTATTTTGCTTATTAATTTTAATCTAATTTCTTATTTGAATAATAAACTTTCCACCCACCTGGATAATCTTGTGCTTCAGCGCGTCAATGATCTCGGTCTGGGCGTGGAATTGGCGCTCCAGATGCTCGTTGTACGTCTTGATCTCGATGATCTCCTCCTGGAGCGCCGAGGCGAACTCTTTGTTCTCGCGTTTTTTGGCGGCTTCGACAAAGATCTATAATTTTTAGAATTTTTGGACAATTTTTGTGCGCAATTTATCATTTTTTAGCAAATTTGTGGCAACTTAAACACACCTCAAATTGGCTACACTTCTCCAGGGCAGCGTGCAGCCGGTACTTGGTCTCTTCATAGCGCCGCTCCAGATCCGTCCTGATAGCAGGTCTCTGCTCGTTTCGGAGCTTTTCGACTTCGATTTCAAGTCGGCGAACTTCTTCGCGAAGCTGAAAATTGGCAATGGGCTTTTTAAATTTCTAAAAAATTAAAAAACCTGAAAATTGGCATTGGGGCTTTTAAATTTCTAAAAAATTAAAAAACGTTTGGCCTTGAAAAAATAATTTTTCATCTTCAAACTACAAACCTTTTGCGCCTCTGCTCCATCCGCATCCGGAAGACTCTGCATGGCTAGCTGCTCCTCTTTTTGTTGGAGCACGAAGCGAAGCTTGTCCATTTCTTTGAGTTGCTGAAAGTCGGGTCCTTGATGGCATTTAAAGGTATCCGTTACCGTCTGCTTGGCCCGCTCCAGCTCTAGCGTTGTTTGTTTCATCTCGGACAGCTGGATCTCCATGCTTATCGCTTGTTTCTTCTTTTGCTGCACCGAGTCGACCTCTTCCTAGAAAATAACACATTTAAAAAAGAGTTTAACTCGAAATTAAACTATTTTAAGGTGTTTGTCAAAGCCATCAGAATTACCTGCAACTTTTCGATACGATCAATATATTGCTCCTCACGATCGGCCCAATCTTTTGTTTGAGACACGTTGCTTTGCTGGAACTAAAAAAGAATTAAAATGTAAATTATCTGTTTTAAGTTTTACGATTATAAGTATCATTATAGTAACAATAAATTATGATAAAAACCTACATTTTCTAACGATTCCAAATACGCCAGCGCGTTTGCCATGGCTTTTCGCTGCTCGATGGGAAGATTTTTGCTGTTTCGCATCTCGGAAAGCCGTGTTTTCAACTCTGATTTATCGAGGGTGCTCTGAAATGTATTAAATTATTTATTAGAATTAAATTAGTTTAAACGGATATACAGCAAAATTCAAGAATTTAAACGAAACGGTCAAAAAAATTGCTTTTTAAAGAGATTTATTAGTTTAAATCTGGCATGGCATGAATTACTCATAAAATGCAGTAAAAATCCAGTAAGGGAAGCCCTGTTTAAAAAATACAAAATTGTGAAATTACTGACCATTTGGCTGACCGTCGGCTGCTCCAAGTCTTCAAATGGCTCTTCGGACAGACTGGCATTATGCAGGGATTCCTGAAAATCATGCATTAATGGCTAGTTTTTCAATCCAGAATTTTAACCTGAGTTTAACTTAAAAGGTATCGAATGAAAAATATAACGTCAATAAAAAGCACCGCACATTAATGGTCTCGATCTCGATCTCCTTCTCGATTCGCTGGAATTCGAGAAGCTCGTTCTCTTCTTGGGTGTCGGCCAACTAAAAAGGGCATGCTTACTTAACGAGTTATTGAAAAATTAAAAGTTACAGGAACTAAAGTTTCAGGGAAAATGCTCTTTTGATGAGTTATTGTAAAATTATGATCATAATTAAAGATTTTTAGAGGAATTTCAATGTTACTGTAAAATAATGCTTAAATTAAAGTTTCATTACAATACCTGGTTCCTTAATCTGTCGACCGTCTCCTCGAGCTCGAAGATTTTGTTCTGCTGCTGGGTGAGGCGCTCCTGTAGGTCCTCCAGCATCTCGATCTGCAAAAAAACGTTGAGACTTTAATTGCCAGATTTAGAAGCATTTTCAAAAGATTTTTAATATATTTAGAGTTTCTTTTAATTCATTTTAATTCTTTTTAATTTTTGATTCATTTGTCAATTTTTTAAGATTTCTGAAATCATAAATTAAATTTTGCTAACTATTGTTATTTAAAGAAAAAGTCGATTAGTAAAAAAGAGGCCGATAAGTATTAAATTAAAATCCAAACACAAAAATTCACATTGTGGAACTGTTGGTTGTACTGGATCTGCTGCTGGGCGATCGTCGTGTGGGCGAGGTTTAGTTGATCACTAAAAACAGGGGGAAATTAGCATGCGAAGGATTGTTATCAGTTTAAGCGAACCACACTTTGGCCGTAAATACATAGAAGAAAATGATAAAGAGGGGACCCCTTCCATCTACTAGGTATAGACACTACTGGACACGCCAATGCATTAAATAAATATCATTTTAATGGCACGGAATTGCGGGGTTGAGTCGAAAATTGAAATGACGGATGCATCTACTGGCGGAATGCGTAGTTGTCGATTTCGGGACTTTCGAGGTTCTTTAAAAATAGGTAGATTTTCCAAAAAAATGCTAATTTTAGAAAGGACAAAAGCCAGGAATTGGCCCTTTACATCTCCTAAGTATCGACAAAATAGTGCATTAAATTTAAGATTTTTAACCCTAACATGGGGCGATTGAGTTGGGATTTCAAGTGCTCATAGTTTAGCGAAGTGCGTAGCCGTCGAGACCTAGTCAATTGTAAGCGTGAATTTTTGCACTTTTTAGACCCTTTAAAATAATTTATAAACGAAGTTTCAATTAATTTGTTAAGCAAAATCAATGGCCCAAATTTTGGGCTGACCGGAGGGCACAGGTGTGCGCGACAAAACGGTTGACCACCAAGGCTAGAGGGGGGAGGGTCAAATCTTTCCGGGGGATCTTTTGCAACGATTTCAGAAAAAGAGGATGCGTGAGGTTAGGGGGATGGAAAAGACAAAGAAAAGGGACACGTTCCCTTTAGCCCAGAGCCGGCTTGTCAAGGACGTTTTCGCACCGTTTTCAGGTCCTAAATGGGTATGGTCAGCTGTGAAAGAGGCCAGGAAGTAGAAAAAATCGCGAAAAACAGCGGTGGCAGCTTTTACAAAATCCTCGTTACTTGGCTTTAATTTTTATGGATTTTAATAGCATCTACTAAAACTAAAATCTCCCAATTTCTAAAGCGAAGAGTCTATCAAAAAGACATATAGAATGAAGTTTTTTTGCAATGATTACTATGACGAACATAACGGATAAATTCGAAGCCTAGACCTCAAAAAGTATAACCAATTCGAGCCCTCCCAATAACCTTGCCGATGTGTCACTTTTTGATAAGACCAAATGGGATTAGTCAGATAGGCATAGGGCGTGAAGGGCTTTTTTAAGCTGTTTTTTTCAAACCAGTTAATAGCTACACTAAATATAAATATCGGACTGAAGTTAAAGGAACTCGGAACTCAGTTAACCAACCCTGATTCAACTCGGTCTCGACAACTTCGCACTCTCTAATAAATGGAGTAGAAGTTTTATGATGACTGGTTAAAAAAGAGGCTTCAAGAGACTTGAAAAGCAAAGAAAGGACAGATTTTGTTAAAAAGTTAAAGCATACCGCAGATGCAAAAGATCGTCCTCCGTTGGCCTCTCCTCCCGGATCCTCTCCAACGCTTTGTGGAGTTCGTCGTTTTCTCGAGCCAACGCCCCGAGACAAGCTTCAATATCTTCACGAAGACACTGCAACACAAAAAAAAATCAACAGGGACAGGAAATTAATTTGTTAATGCATTAAAACTTTATAAAACCGCATGTTAGAGGGCATTTCAGTCTGGAAAAATCGAAGACAGCCATTCCTCATGCATTCCGGAGTCAAAACAAACGGCGCGAGAGGCATGGGAACGCTTTTTGGGATTTTTGGAGCCTTGCCAGGAGATTCTCACGCTATACTAAAGTTTTAAAATCATATTTTTAATAGGACCGAAAATCCAAAAAATCGGCATCTACAATTCTTCAAAATCTAGCAAAAGTTTTTGCTATTTGAACTAAAAAACGGAAAACTAAAAAAAACCTAAATACTAATGAAAAAAATAATAGCAAAATAACATAATTTTTGGCTCATTTGGTACCATCTAAAAAACCTTTTGGGGGATTTGTTCGGTTGTTGTGAATTGGTAAATTTCCCGTCAAAACCATTTTTTGCCTTTACAGTGCCTTTATAATAAACCTGGTCAATTATTATTGAAAACCAGAACCTGAAAAAAAGTATTGGAAAAACAAAAGTAAAAACCTAGTGCAAAATCAATGAAATCAAAGGCTGTCAATTAGTATTGACTACATCGCGCCACCAAGATAGAAGAAAGATGGGCAAAACCGTTCGCCCCCAGCGACAGCTCACCCCCAATCCAATCCAATTAGCATGCGGATGGATGGACAGCAATAAGAATCCGCCCATCCATCAAATTATCGCCCCCATCGACTGGATACTTATTGCTACTTGGGGCAACTAATTGAAAGGAGACTTGGCGGGATTGAAAAGGTTTATTTCTCGCGCTTGAATTTACTAATTACAAGCAATAAAAACGCCTGGATCAAACCGACATTCTGAATTATCGCATTTAAAAAGCCAATAGGCTTTAAAGTGTCGTAATTAATAAAGAAAATTTCAGAAATAAAACGCGCTTATTAACTGCGTATTTAACATTAAACAGGGCAGGCAGTTTTTCAACAAAAGCTTCTTTCTAAGTCTCGATAGTTCGCTAGATTTTGAAATTCAATAATTTCAGAAAAAAAGAATTGACATTTTCTGCCAATTTGCTCACCAACTCCCCGACAAACTACAAAAGCTCTGGAATTTGGAGCCGCCTGGTGAATAGCGACCGACAACAATAATAATGAGAAAAACCGGGCTATTCAAGCGTCAAGGGTGGCGCCCCGGAAAAATATGGCGAAATCGCGATGCCGAAAATCCGGAAAATTTTATAGAAAAATCGAGCCTGACAATTTGGCGGGATACGCATTGAGCTTGCCTAATTTTCAAAAACCCTCTTGGAACTACAACTTTTAAAATTGTTTTTAACTTAGCAAATATTTAAAAAACATAGGTATGTTTTTTATAAATCGTACGTTGGTTAATTATGATTAATGCGACTATAAAATTAAAAAGATTAAAACTTTGAAAACCTTAAAACAGTTTATTTTAATACAAATAAAGGGTGGAAAAAGCAAAATCACGACTCCCAAAAATCCTATAAAAAATTTGCAAGTGCGATGTGTGGGGATAAGCCTCCCGCTTCCCACAGCGCAGTGAGGAGCGGCTAGGGCGAGGCGTCAAGAGGATCAACGCGCATACTATAGACTTTTTCACGCGCCAAAGTTTTATGGGGAAACGAGTTTGGGCTAAACCCGCATTCAGGGGGAGGGGAGGGCTACGTACCAATATTCATGCTGTCAGCTGGAGCCGGGCGGAAAAGTTAATAAAATTGCGATCGGGGGTTGCGTTATTAAAACCGGGGGTTTCACACATAAATAAATAAAAGGTATGTTAAAAATTAGCCAAATAAACTAAATTTAAAAAGTATGAAAATAAAATCTTTTAATATTCTCTGCCTAGAAAAATTTACATAGCAAATAATCTATTTAAAATTTATAATAGTCATGTATATTATTATGGAATCAAAACCAAAATTTTTTGAAAATCGAAATTTATGAATTTCCAATTAAAAATAGTTGTTTTTCATGAATTTACAGATTTGCGAAAAATTACCATTTTGAAACTTTGATCCTTAACTAATTTTTTTGATCGGTTTTTTAGCTTTTTCCTCCTTTTTAACTTAGGAATAATATCCAACCTCCTCAAAATCCTCCAAAATAGGGTCCAGCGAATTGGCGCTCTCCTCGGAGCACGTCGATTCCACCGTACTCTTGCTGTCATCCATCGGTTCTTCAGAAGTCTTCCTGATGCATCGCTTCAGTTTTTTGAATTTTTGCACGAGGACATCGTAGCGTTTGTCTTTTTCCTAAACAAAAAGATGTATATTCGAGCTTAAGAATATAAGGATTTTTTGACTTCAACCATCCTTTAAAAGGTCTAAAGGTCGTTGGGATCGACCCCTATCCTTAACTAGGTATCGACAGTTACGCAGCAAGCCAAATTACGCACCCAACGTTGTCGTTCCGTAAGAATTGGCCTAACGGTGTGGAGGGCAGCGACAGATTTTTTTGCTTCAACGGTTCTTTAAAAGGTTTAGAATTCGCGAGAATCGACCAGACCATTCAACCAGACCTAGACAACTACGCAGCGCGCCAAATGACGCTTAAAAGGCTAGTTCAACTTTTAGAGCTTGGCCTGGTACCTTGGGAAACTATGGACGTAGGCACAGTGCGCCCGAACAGTCCCCAATTACGGCAGCTATTAGAGATCGGGGAAATGAAAGAAGCGCAGACAAAAAACGCAGAGAGGGTTCGACCCCCGGCCGCGGAAATTCTTTTGTTTTATTGGCTGAACTAGCCCTTTAAAACTACTTTATCTTCACTATCAGATTTCGCTTCAATAGCCCTTTAAAGACATCGGGAATGGCCAACATCGACCCCTAAGCTCGGCTAGATGTCGACAGCTACGCTCCACTACAAATGACGCTTATATGACGCCGGATTTTTGCTCTAGCGTCACTTCCCAAACGACTTGCATCCGTAATTTCGAAGGTCACGTAACTGTCAAGACCTAGTGGAAGCAAGGGTAGGTTTTTGCCGTTCCCAGCCCTTTAAAAACCCGCAAAACACTTACAATAGCACTCTGCCTCAACGCAGTGATACACTTCGAATGTTCGAGCAGTTGCACCCTCAGCCGCTCCAGCTCGTCCATCTTTTCTTGCGGAAATACGCGTTTTTCATGTAGTTGTCGATTTTCTTTGACGACGCGCTCGTGCTGGTCTTTCTAAAAAATTAATATTTTTCA